ATTAAGACTTAATCGTCTCGGTTGGGTTTCAAGTCTACGGACACCAAACTTAAAGTCTCATTCCTTTAATCCAGCAGAAATTTTCAAAACTATTTTTAACATCTAAAAATATTCATTTGAAATATGTGGGGGATTGTTGGAAAAATTGAGAGTATTTCAAATGAATAAAATGTTATTTCCTTTAATCGGTTTTTACACTTATTTAATAATAAAACTTATACATATTATACATAATAAAATGATAACTATAATGAATAGGTTGTTGAACGTTGTGTTTGCACGTTACAATTTTTGATCTTTATTGATTATTAATAAACATGCAGCTATTATGAAAACAAAACGGTTGCTTATATTATTATTATTATTAAAGTGTATTTATTAGTCTTTAAGCTCCAACATATGTATAATTTTAGCTTTTAAACTTCTTTTGTTATGGACCGTGTGTTGCTTTCGGGAGTTATTAACTTGGTAGTCAAAATAATTTCTCTCACTATATTTATGTATAAACGTTTCATCAGTTTTTGGGAGTTGAGCACTTGAGTCGTTGCTTTAAGCTGGAAATTTTCAACATTAATCTTTACATTGATGCTATTTATTAATATTGACGTTAGTACTTTAATGTTTCACATGATCGAGCATGCAACAACATTCATGCTAGTGTTTGTATATATATATACTAGTTCGTTAACGCGCCATGCGCGTTCGTGTATATGCCCAATGCTAATACAAGCATATTAATTAATTAACAAATTAATGGACGAAAATACTATCATTATGAAATTAGAAATGTAATTTTATTACACCTTGGATCCATAAACCAAAGAAAAATCAAATATGGATTCACTCAAGTGAGTCGAGGTGTTCCCCTTTATTTTTTCGTGACAGATTTATCTGATTCAAATGCCCCCCAACCAATATAATTTCTGGATCTGCCACCGTTTCCTGCGGTGATGAAAGGAATTCTATTGAAATGTGCCATTAAAATAAAAGTTAAATAAAATTATATATAATGTGTATTCATCACTTCATATTTTTCATAAGATTTATAAGTCTTTAACATAAGGGGACAACTTCTACACAAAGACTAATAGTAAAGGAAAATAAAGATGCCCAAAAAATGGTTTAATGAGTCGTCACCAGTTGCAACGCAAATGTTGGCAGATAACAAAGAGTTAGGGAATGGTTGTAGGGTACATTCTGTCTAAGCTGCAAAAGATGGATTTCACTTTATTCTTTATCTTTTTAAGTTTGCATTCATGCCTTTTTAGCTTACTGGAGTTGGGTCTATGTTTGTTTGAGATAATGTGTAAATTTTCTACTTTTCACATTTCATTTGTTATAGGGCAAGAGCTTTTGCATGTGGTGCAAATGTTGACAGAACTATTACAATATATAAACTATTATTTGAAATTTGCACTTTCAAAAATCTGCACTTAGCTTTTCAAAAATCTGCACTTAGCTTTTTAAAATTCTGCACTTAGCTTTTCAAAATTATGCACTTAGCTTTTAAAAATTCTGCACTTAGCTCTTCAAAAATCTGCACTTGGGCTTTTCAAAATTCTACACTTAGCCTTTCAAAAATCTGCACTTAGCCTTTCAAAAATCTGCACTTTTATTTGAAGTAGAAGATAAACACCAGGCTGATCATAGTATTACAATATACAAATTGTTATTTGAACTCTGCACTTTCAAAATTCTGCACTTTAGACTTTCAAAAATCTGCACCCAACCAACCTCTCAAAACCAGTGATGAATGTAAATTCAGCTTATAGAAGAAGATGACATTGAACATAAGTACCATGAGGGTAAAAACAACTCAAAACAAACATTTGGATGGGGCTCAAAAAGGGCAGAAGATGACACATTGAGGAAAAATTTCCTGATTACAGAATACAAAGTGTTTCTTCAACAACACACACCTAATTATAACATCCCTTTACAACTACTAAATGCTTTTCTCTACTTCTAGGCTTCCATTTTCATTAAATGGACAATACATCTACAACATAATAAATTCACGGTTAACAACAATTAATATTACAGCCAAGAACATCTACCACATCTCACTCTTTCAATATAAGGACGATTGCCAACAGACATACGGTACGGTAATTGTCCAAATGGAAAGAGCTGAGGTACAGTTGGTTACTTGGTTTTCATTTGTATATAAATTAAATTACATTCTTTAACGTGATCATCATTATCATTAATAGAAACGAAAACAGTAACGTACACTATGGGGAGAAGGTGAAGGAGACACAAGGGAACAGAACTGAGGAACGCAAGTGTCACCTTCAGCGAACTTAACTCAACCTGGTGAAATGGGTAGAATGAATGATAACGGAAGGGAGACATCGAAGAGGATTGAGATGCTGAGGATTTACTAAAGGTGACGATAGACGTTTCTTAATGGGGATACAAATAAGGGAGGGTACAATCAGAGATAATATATGTGTATAAAGCGGTGATGTTACACAAACAAATTTTGAATACCTAAAGTAACCTTACCTTCATTCATCTTTATAATTTTGTAAAGATGAAGGTCAACATTGTACTCTTCAAAAAACTGTAGCAATAAAAAAGAAGGATACATTCTTTCATGAATTTTGTAGTTTTAAATAATACTACTCCGTGTACGAAAAAGCAATGAAATTGAAATAATAAATGCACTTACAAAGGTACGTTTAGCAGCTACAGTTTAGAGGACTAAAAAGAGAGCTAAGCATCTTATAGTGGTATTCTATGGAAAAATAAAACTACTAACCACCACAATTGAAAATAAGGCCAAGAAACTTCAAAATATTTGGTTTATGTTCATCTCTTCATTCCATCAGGTGTTATTTTTTCTATTTCATTCAAACAATTGGAGAGGGCCTAGAGAAGTTCATTAATCTGCAGCAAAATCCTTCTGTTATCAGTTATTTATCACTCTTTGATCCGAATAAGTCATATTAAGTTGATTACAAATAAATGCAGGGCCCCGAGTTCAACTCCCAATATTTTCTTTGTCTAAGTTTAAGTTTTATTTATAATAACCAATAACTAATATAGCTAATAACAAAAAGAGGTCATAACAAAATTTAAAATGAGAAAGTTCATATTAATTCTATATTGGTAGGAATTCAATATTAAAGTAGTTCGATTATTGGTTGAAATTCAAAATGCATGCACTTTGTGCAGGCAGCTAATTGGATATCATCATATCAAGTTATCAACACAGAGAACTCATATACGTTATTAATAAATGTGACTTATTAGTCTTAGTAATGACGTCAAGTAATTAAATTGAGAATTTTCGCTTAAATGAAATTAAAATCTCATAAAAAGAGGATATATCCTAAATGAAATTGCATGGTTGTATAAGACGAATGCAATAATATTGTAAAATCAACATTTATGCAAAGTTATACATAATGTACAAATTTGAGAATGGTGAATAACTTACTCTACAAGAGGAGCAAATATACTATCAAATAGACTTGAGAAGATTTTTCAATAATAACAATAATATCAATTAGTAGGTCATTTTTCTAAATATTTATTTAATAATGTTTTATCAAGTAGCATTATAGTTCTTAAGGAACTAATACCTAAAATAAGTCACTAAATGGCTGAATCATTGGCACAACAAAAACTATTTACAGGGTTAACAACCTAACAATATTGCATGTTTGAAAAAACAACATAACTACTAAAAACAACAAATTAACAAATATATTGATTTGTGCAGCCATAATTTGTCCCTCATACTCATGGATCCATAAGCAAATGTTTTTAAATCTTTAAGGCTTAAGGTTAGTATTCATTAAGGGGAAAAAGGAAACATAACAACTTGTGAGTTTCTCTCAAGAACATCCATAGTGATGATTGATACTTTGTGAGTTTCTCTCAAAAACAACAAATGTTTCTCTAAACCATCACTTAAGCCCATATACTTCTCTCAAGAAAGTATTTCCGATTAGCGAAAACCTTTCCCCAAGATAAAATGAGCTCTTCGGCGTAAGCCGGTAACAGAACAACGAGAGTAAATAAGAAAATAATCCAGCAGAGAAATGTTGTGTGAGAGAATTTTTAGCTTGTATACTTCTCTCTATCTGTCTAGCTCCATGCAAACTTATATATATATATATATATATATATATATATATATATATATATATATATATAAACGTTGTCCTCAAGAAAGTATTTCCGATTAGGGAAAACCTTTCCCCAAGATAAAACGAGCTCTTACATAAAACATTTTAGTTTCACCTAATGCACATTTCAAATTAACCTAATGCACAATTTAGTTTCACATAATGCCACAACATTGTAACCCTTTGTGTTGCACATTTCAATTTCACTTATTACACATGACAACTTCATCTAATGCACATTGAATTTCACATAAAGCAAATCTAATGATCCAGATTCATTCTCATTTTTCTCATAAGATCATGTTCTTATTTGAACCAAAAGCTATATATATATATATATATATATATATATATATATATATATATATATATATATATATATATATATATATATATATATATATATATATATATATATATACTTCTCTCAAGAAAGTATTTCCGATTAGCGAAAACTTTTCCCCAAGATAAAACGAGCTCTTCGGCGTAAGCCGGTAACAGAACAACGAGAGTAAATAAGAAAATAATCCAGCAGAGAAATGTTGTGTGAGAGAATTTTTAGCTTGTATACTTCTCTCTATCTGTCTAGCTCCAGCAAAGAAAATAATTTGCTCTGCTGGATTATTTTCTTATTTACTCTCGTTGTTCTGTTACCGGCTTACGCCGAAGAGCTCGTTTTATCTTGGGGAAATGTTTTCGCTAATCGGAAATACTTTCTTGAGGACAGCGTTTACGCGACTCGAGCTATATTATTTGTCTAACGTTTTTTTTCCAGGTTTATCTGACCAATCTCCTCCAACAAACCAGTCCAATTAAAACTTTTTAAAATGAGTGATTTCCAAACTGCTGGTTAATTGCTTATGTGGCAATTTTTCTAGTTTTCATTTCCTTTGTTGATTATGTTTTATTTTCTTTTAATTTTGTTCTTTCTTGGTCCATTCCTTGGTCGACGGAATCACAAAAATGCCTCCAACTTCATTGTCTTCTTCCTTGGTCCGTTTCTTGGTGAATCTGTATGCATCCATCTTCATTTTCTCTTCTTTCTTTACCTTAGCTTTAAGTCTCCAACTACATTGAGGTAAGAATTTTTCTTACTTTTATACTACGGTCATATATTGGCTGGAATCTATGTCCTCAATCATTTGGCTTCACTGTGTCCTCTCGATTGCTTTAACAGGGTGGTTTGCCGGCGATTGATGGGCTATTTGGGACAATTAATTTCAGCGAAATTGACTCTCCCACTTCAAATCGGATAGCCTATACAACCAAAACCGGTGTCGGACGGAGACCACTTCAAAAGCTTCACCCAGTTGCTTACTCTACTCTCTATCTTTGTTTCTTCTTTTGTTACTTAATTCTTTAATTTTCTTTGTTTCTTGTATTTCATTTTAGAGAAGATAATGGAGTATGTGATATACGTATATCTATACACATTAGATATATTTTCTTTTGTTTTGCAGTGTAGAAAGAAGAAGTAATAGAGTATGTGATATACGTATATGATACATTTGATATGCTACGTACTAGGTTAGGGATAGGGAGAAGGGAAGATGGAGCAAAAACAAAAGGAAAAATAAAAAAGAAAAGAAAAAAGGAAATCAAATTTTTGTGATAAAAGCCACATGTATAAAATGAGTTGACCTGGCCTTATTTGAAACTGCACGTGTGATTTATTTGATTCAACATGTTACTTGCAAGTCATTTGGTTTTAAAAGATTGTTTTCAACAAGTAGATAGATAAATATGACACTTATATGAGTAGATGACCTAAGTGATGGTTTAGAGATAGTACATGAGCTTATTTGACCCTTTACTCAATTAAAATTTAAAAACATCCTTAGTGATGATTGAATACGGCATAGTGAAGATTTTATCTCATACCTTGTATTGTACTGAAACCTCCAGTGCACAAAAAAATCATACTCTGACAGTCATACCTTACCAAATTTACGGTGTATCAAAACTCGGTATACCATATTTTGGTACTCTAGTCTAGAAGTATAAACACATCTTGTATCGAAAAGAGTGCATTAATGACCGAACAGATGGTGCCGCAATCCGAGTTAAGATATTGCAGGACTCAAGATATTGCAAAAGTTAAGTGTGTGAAGGATGTCGATCAGAGGATATTAATGGACGACGGAGAGATAAAAGAGAGGTGGAGGTCATACTTTGATACACTATTCAACGGGAACAAAACGCAAGATATCAGTGATTTGTCCATACCAGATTGTATGGTAAATCGTGATTTTGTGAGAAGGATCCAAACAACGGAAGTTAAAGAAGCTCTGAGGAAGATGGGACAGAAGAAAGCAATGGGTCCAGATGGCATACCGATCGAGGCTTGGAGAAGTTTGGGAGAGAGAGAGGCGTCGAGTGGTTAACAAGTTTCTTCAACATGATTTGGAGAAACAACAAGATGCCAACGAGTTGGAGGAAGAGTACTCTTATCCCCTTTATGCCTGGTCATTCAACAACTGAGGTCATTCACCTTCTTCGGCAACTTATGGAGAAGTATAGAGACGCTCATAAGGATCTGCATTTGGTGTTCATTGACTTAGAAAAGGCATATGATAGGGTACCTCGGGAAGTTCTTTGGTGGCCCTTAACTAGGAAAGGCATATCACGCAAGTATATCAGCATCATCATGGATATGTATGAGGATTGTACTACAAGTGTCCGTACTAGTGTAGGGAGGACTGAAGAGTTCCCTATTACTATCGGAGTGCACCAAGGACCGGCTCTGAGCCCTATCTTATTTTCCATAGTCATGGATGAACTTACGAAGTCAATTCAAGATGATATACCGTGGTGCATGATGTTTGCCGACGATATCGTATTGTTTGATGAGACACAATCAGGTCTTAAATCAAAGTTGGAAGTATGGAGACAAACATTGGAGAATAAGGGTTTCAAACTAAGTCGGAGCAAGACAGAGTACATGGAGTGCAAGTTTGGTGGAGGTAGAAGCAGTGGTAATAGCAGAATTACTCTGGATGGTAAGGAGATATCAGTCAGCGATATGTTCCGTTACTTGGGCTCCATAATTCAGAAGGACGGTGAGTTAGATGGAGATGTATCCCATAGAATCAGAACAGGGTGGATGAAGTGGAAGAGTGCGTCAGGATTTCTATGCGATCGAGGTATGCCATCTAGACTGAAGGGTAAATTTTATAGGACAACAATTAGGCCTGCATTACTGTATGGCGTAGAGTGTTGGGCGGTGAAACAATGTCACATTCAAAAGATGAGTGTGGCAGAGATGCGCATGCTGCGTTGGATGTGTGGGCATACTAGGAAGGACCGCGTGAGGAATGAGACAATCAGACAAAGGGTGGGAGTAGCACCTATTGAAGACAAGATGCGGGAGTCACGCATACAGTGGTTTGGTCATGTGCGTAGAAGACCGAGTGATGCACCTGTCAGACGAGTTGAGATGTGTGGAGAAGAGGTAGGGAAGAGAGGGAGAGGAAGACCCAAACAGACGTGGGTTAGGGGAGTTCGAAGTGATATGCTTCTTCTGGGGTTGGATGAGGGCATAACTTTTGAAAGAGCTAAGTGGAGGGCGGGTATTCATGTGGAGGAGTGATCTCATATCATCTTTTCCCCTCATCTTTTTTTTCCTTATTTTTTATCCTTATATATAATCATTATTTGTATCCTTTTTATTTTATCATTTTTATGTATATTCATCTCTTTTTATATTATCTTTTTATAATAGCTTATCTTTTGTATCTTTATTTTTTTTCTTTTCCTTTTGGTGGTGATATCATGTATCGATTCATGTTAGCCGACCCCAATATCTTTTGGGACTAAGGCTTGGATGTTGTTGTTGTTGTACACTTTTTATTGCATTTCATATATTTTACTCTCTTTTATGTGTATTTATAGGTTTTTAAGACATTAAGTTTGTTTATTTCGATTTCTAGAGTTGCATTTCATAATATATGGAGTTACATCTTCTTATCAACGATTTACATCTTCATGCGCGTGAGTTACATTTTCTTATGTGTGACTTACATCTTCATATGTGTGAGTTACATCTTCTTATGCATGATTTACATCTACATATGTGTGAGTTAAATCTTCTTCTTATGTGTGACGTACATCATCATATGTGCGAGTTATCTTCTTATGCATGATTTACATCTTCATGTGTGTGAGTTACATCTTCTTATGCACGATTTATATCTTCGTGTGCGCGAGTTACATCTTTGTATGCACGTGTTGCATCTTTTATGCGGGAGTTACATCTTCTTATGCGCGAATTACATTTGGATCTGTCTCAACAAGTTACATTTTGCATACATGTAAGTTACATTTTTCATCAACCCGAGTAGCATCACAAACTAAACTCTTGCTATTGAAACAAAAATAAAAGATTCTTTAACATTATTTTGTATGGACCCGATATTAAAAACAAAACATATTCACTATTTACGTAAAGTAATTAAGCAATTAGACTCCTTTTTCTTATACTCCTGACATTCATGTAATATCCATGTTTATGTTTATGTTTTTAATTAGTTTAGATTGATTGTTACTTTGGAAATTACACACTTTTGGTGTAATAGTTTAGTTTGTAAAAATGTTTGTAATTTGTTTAGATTAGGTTTATACTGAGCTCAAACAGGTCCAAGATCACTCTAGGGACCATTGGTGAACATCACAAATGCAAGGAAGGTGCAAAAATCTCAAGATAAATTGAATATTCTGATTTTTGGTGTTGTACCCGGTCGGGTATGACCTATACCTGATCGGGTAAGTCGCTGAAAAATCGAATCGAATCAACCCGGGAACAAGGCAACATGCAGGGGAGATTTTGGCCACGATCGAGTGTTCATATCCGATCGGGTGGCCGGCATACCCGATCGCGTATGTCCCATTTTTTTATACTTCCGCGAAGCAACCGAGTACCTGATCGAGTGCCTTTACAGCCCGATCGGGTACACGACCCTGCAAGCCTAAAAAGCCTATAAATACACCTCATTTCCTCCTCATTAATTCACCAATTCACATATACTCTTAAGCTCAGTTTAGAATAGCATTTCTTTATATTTTTGTAGTATGTTTAGTCTCCAAATGAGGAGCTAAACTTCCAATTATTGGTGTTGCTCTTGAAGCTTGTTGATTATTAAAGTTGTGAGTTATTTTCTTAACTTCTTCCCTTGAATATTCATTATTAGTTCTTTCCTTAATACTATCTCTATATTAATGTTGGGGAGTGTTGCTAAGATGACAATTAGTTAACATCTTGACATTAGTTAGAGTAGTATTTTCTTCCTCTATATTAATGTTGGGGAGTGTTGCTAAGGTGACAATTAGTTAACATCTTGATATTAATTATAGTAGGATTCATCTCCTTTAATAATATTCTTCCTTGAATATTAATTAATTCCTATTCATATTTCATATTAATATTTTGAACATTACTTAAAGGATCAACTAGTTTTGTTTCATATATTAATTATTACTAGAAACGATCGACGAACCGATGGTTAATCGTTGATGGTTTCACAAGTAAGTAACTTCGGTTTATTAATGCACGGTCGTGGTTGATGTTGGGAATATTTTATGGTGTCCAATCTAATTAAATATCTTTGTATTTGTGTAGTTATTAACTAAATGTGTAATATGAGTCACAAATGTATTTCAACCCATTAGCCCACTTGTAAGCCTTAAGTTCGACATCCTTATGTATAAAAGGATGCTAACTTAAGCAAACCCTAAGTCTCACAAGCCTCACGCACATTAATGCTCATATCTTTCTGAGAGCTTATACGGTATAAGGAAGAGGGAGTTCATCGATTCAAATATATTTCTATCATTCTGTGATTCTCTTCTTCTATTATATTGTATGATTGTTGATTGATATTGGAACAAACATTTGGTATCAGAGCCTAGCGTGAAATCGATTGAAGAAGTTCTGCGTTTTTTCTGCCATTAACGGTGAAGAAGTATTTCTGGAAATTTTGATTTTCTAGTATTTTATGGTTTGATCGAGCTGGTTTGAAATTGCATTTTTGAAATTGCATTTTTGGAATTTTGAGATATTTCGCAGGTTGTAAGAAGGAGATAGAAGGTCCAGGTGCGAGTTCGTGTAAACTCGAGGTCCAGATGCGAGTTTGTGTAATCTCGAGGTCCGGGTGCGATTTTGTGTAATCTCGAGGTCCAGGTGCAAGTTTGTGTAAACTCGAGGTCCAGGTGCGAGTTTGTGTAATCTCGAGGTCCAGGTGCGAGTTTGCGTGATCTCGAGGTCCAGGTGCGAGTTTGTGTGATCTCGAGGTCCAGGTGCGAGTTTGTGTAAACTCGAGGTCCAGGTGCGAGTTTGTGTAAACTCGAGGTCCGGGTGCGAGTTTGTGTAATCTCGAGATCCAGGTGCGAGTTTGTGTAATCTCGAGGTCCAGGTGCGAGTTTGTGTAAACTCGAGGTCCGGGTGCGAGTTTGTGTAATCTCGAGGTCTAGGTGTGAGTTTGTGTAAACTCGAGGTCTAGGTGCGAGTTTGTGTAATCTTGAGGTCAAAGTGCGAGTTTTGAGTTCTCAAAGGACATGGAAAGGATTTCGCGATTTAAAAAAAGAGAAAGAGAACGAGGGGCAAAATTGTCCTTTGAGAACTGCTGAATTCTACAGCATTCGTGTCCGCGGGGGGGGGGGGGGGGGGGGGGGGGGGTGATGCGATTTTTCGATTTTGAACTGAAAGCCCGAAATCCCATGTGCGCGAGAGCTCCCCTCTTCTCCTTCACCTTTTACTACTAAGGAATGAGTAATTCTTATATATAGACTCAAAAGTTCCCAAGGAGTTTAGCTGTGGGATTGCTTAAAAGATTCTTTTTTTCCCCACACTTGGATAAGTACATTTTTTTTAAAAACTCCAACTTCAAGAGCTATATTGAGCCCATT